AACTACATCCGCGTCATGGGTAAGGCGATAAAATACATCCGGCGGCTGGCTAAGACGATAAACTACATCCGCGTCCTGGATAAGACGATAAACTTCATCCGCGTCATGGGTATGACGATAAACTACATCCGAGTCATGGGTATGACGAGAAGCAACATCCGCGTCCTGGGTAAGACAATAAACTACATCCGCGTCCTGGATAAGACGATAAACTACATCCGCGTCCTGGGTAACACGATAAACTACATCCGCGTCCTGGATAAGACGATAAGCTACATATGCGTCTTGGATAAGACGATAAACTACAGACGTGTCCTGCAATAAACGATCTCCGACAGCGAGACCTTTGATCAGAAAGTTTTGAGGAGCATGGAACCATAGCGCTCAATGTAAATTTACAGATCATTAATATTATAAATTAATTGATTTAAAATATGTTTTTTCGCTACACAGTTCTAACCATGTTTAAAAAATGGAAGCTAAAAGCCGCGAACTTAATTTTGTAATTAATTACATTTAAAAAAAAGGTATCTTAAAATGACCGGTAGATATAGTAAAAGTCAAAAGAGAGATGTTGTAATTCACTTAAGGAATAGAAATCTGCCCAAAATTATAAGATGATACACATGTGCATTTCTAAAAATTGATATACAGATGAACAGGAACCAATCGTTCATTAATTTGGCAAGAAATACCCTCTACGTGGCCGCGATATTTAAAATGTGTCTCAGTTTCTAATCATTTTTACGGTAGTAGAAAAATTTTTAACAACCTTAAACTCCTGGAATAAGTTGGCAACCGAAGTTTTTTTTTTTTATATATATAAGTAATATTCGTGATTCAATTATTAAAAGACAATTTCAACAGAGTCTTGCCTGTATAGGCTACCGTGGTGAGTTAAAGCTGATTAAGAGCCATATCTACTTAATCCGTTCAGGCATATGTGAAAATCGCATATTGGGATTAAGTCGATTAAAATAAGCAGGGGATAGAGGAAATGTTATTTTAAAAAGAAAGTGATTCAGAATCGGCCATAGAACGGAAATCTACCTAAATTGCAAGAGGATAACTCCAGCTTCCTTAGAAAATGATCAAATCTGATGCCCAAAGAGCTGTAAACCAATATCAGCGATCAGTGTTAGAATAAAGAAACATTTAAGTAGGTATCGGTACCCATGACAGAAAGCAGTTGTACAGTCTCCTCAAACGAGCGTTCGGGATGAAAACATCATCATTCCTTCCGTTGAACCGAAAAGATGGATATTAGCAATTCAATAAAGTTAGTGAAAAGCGTAGAATATAGAGACGCAGTAATGACTTGAGCTCTTGAACAGAGAATCAGATATTGTTTTTAATTCAATCCGAGACCAAGGCTTGAATTTGAATAGTGAGAAAATGCATTTTATTTTCGTGTATTTATTGAACACATTTCATATCTGTTTGCAGGCGGTTAGCTGTCAACATAGGTTCGAAAAACATTTAATGTCCTTCATGTCTCAATGTTACCTCGTGGTTCCAGTGTGATACCATTTGTCGTTGCCGCGTTAGAACGGAAGAAAGTTTTGTTAAAATATAAGGAAGTGTTATGTGCTGAGAGACATTGAAACGAGAAGGGTTAATACCAAAAACCAGTGGGAAGAATTGAGGATTTAATTCCCACATAAACGACATGAATTGTATGTCGAGCAGTTTGAACAACAGAACAGTGTCTCAGACTTAGGGGACAATGTTGATTGACACACAGCTGCAAATACAAGCTGTAAAGCGAAAATTTCATTTTTCGTAAACAACGAATTTTGAGTTAATTCCCCTGGTCGAAAGTTGAGTTGAAATACCAGGAGGGGGTGGACAAACCACCCACGCTCAGTGAGGAGTTCTAGTGAGAGAGTGGAAGAAGGGGAATTTCAGAGAATTATCGAGCTCTCTTACTTCGCCAGTTTGGGCAAATGTCCATAAATACAAATGGGCGAAGCGAATCCGGCAGAAGAGAAAAGAGAGGAAGAAGGAGACGGAAACGATACCAGAGACAGGAGAGAGGCCCACGGGATTATCTGTCAACGAAAGCCTCCGACATCAGCCTTGTGCCGAACTTTACGAAAACAGCAATCAAAGTTTACCAAATCGACAACAATAACATCATTTCCATGCAGGTTGGGCTGATAATTAATTGCATGCGAACTCCAGTTATTTTACGGAGGACTGATATAAAACAGTATTCATTTTGTTCAATTTATTCGAGTGTTATCCTCTTTCCTATACGTCATCTCCCTGCTCGGACCAGCCCAACACGAAGATACCTGTGACGATTCGATCTTAGTTGCCTTATGATCAACCTTAAATCACAATGTGGTATAAGGTTAGATTGAAGCGGTCACTTCAGCGAACAGCCGCGGTGTTGGAAGTTTTGAACGACCGCTGAGGGTGTTGTACGATTACAATTGGTGCCGTGACCAAGGATCGAAGTTGATAATTATACCAGCAGTTCTTTGTGACGTAGTTTATAAAAAAAATTGCATAGTCTATAAACCGTATTATACATCATCCTGCATTTGAATTGCTCTCTCTAATATTATTTTGAGAATAAATGTTGCATTCCTTGTTCCAGTGTCTTTAACGAACCCGCACTGGTTTGTCCTATTTTCAATCTGATTCTGTTGCGCGCTCTATTCATTAAGATTTGGAGGATACGTTTTGTTACATGCCTCATTAAACTGATTGTCAGATGTAATTGCTAATCGTTTGCCCCTGGCTTGTTTATCTGTGCTATGAAAATGGATCTACCTAGGTCTTCCGGTATTTCGCCTCTGTTGTATATTTAGTTTACTATGTCTGTAATCTTGTCAATGCCGAAATCATCTAAAGCTTCTACGATTCCGTCTTCTAAGTTAATAAAAAAAATATAGCTTCCCTAAAAAACGAAAAAAAGATCAAACTCGAGATTCAAAGAGGTGTGCACAATATCAGCTATCAATAGTGGAAGAAAGAAATATTTAAGCAAACACTCACACGATGCACAAGAAAAAACAGTAACACGATCTCCTCAAACGAACGTTCAAACAGTAGATATCAATATTCCTTCCGATGAACTGAAAAGATGGAAATCAGTAACGCAATAAACTTATTGAAATTTATAGAATATAGGAATGGCAGAATTTTTTCGAGCTCTTGAACAAAGATTCAGATATTTGGTTTAAAGCAATCTGAGACAAAGGTTTGAATTTTCTATGGAAACAAATCTATGGAACAAATATAGAGACCAATAAAAAGGGTTCAATAAGTTGCAAAAAGTACTGGTATCTTCAGTTGAAATCCTTGTTTTCGATGGGAGACAAGTCTTTTATACACTTATATACATTTAGCTGTACATCGACGTGTTGTAATGGTCATCAAGTTTGTCTCGTTAGATCAGTTACAATTGAGTAGCGTGTTCAATCATCACTGTGAGCTTCATGCTTTCGACCTTGTCTCACATCTAAGTTACGCTTACAGGCGTTTTATTCCTCTGTCTACAAATATTTTTATGGTAACTCTTCTGACGATTTTTCCCCTGGTACGCCGAACGCATAAATTTAAGCACGGTACTAGATCGGAATCCCACCCTTTCACTGTTGAAATAGCTAAATGCAACGGTCACTTTTACTCCAACAGCTTCTTTTCTCGCACTTCTCTCCCGTGGAACTTTCTTTTGTTTCCTTCTTTCCCTGATGGCTACAATCTTCAGAAATTTAAATGCAACGTCAAGTGCAATCTTCTGTCATCCTTAACACCCTTCATTTTTCGTGGTTACCTCAATCCTCCCGATACTTATTCTTCTCTTTCACTTTCACTTTCACTTTCATTTTCACTTCCTGTAACCTCCTGTGTACTAGTGGCATTGCCACCTTGCTTAGGGTGATATGATTCAAAAACAAACGCTGTATAAAACATTTGATGTTGCGTAAAAAACCTATAAATACGCCATCAGTCTGTCTCTTTACAAAGTTAAGAGCAGACGGAGAAATTATTTTGTGAGATGTAATTGGCAAAATGTTATCTTAAGTAGTCGAAAAGAAATTGTTCTTGACGTCCCTAATGTTTTACATCTAGTAGTTTCGATTATGGTTAGCCTTCATCAGAAAAGTTAACGTTATCAGTTACAAGAAAAGGAAGTTATGAATAAAAACCTGTACCGCTAGTTTAATTTTTTTTTCTTTTTTATTTCTTTCACTTCAAGCAAGGCATTAAAACCACTAAGACGCAAAGGGTTACTGAGTGCTAGAGAATATGAGGAAATACTATTAAGTATTAATGTTAATATTACTTTTATACTAATAAGCAGAGGACAATAAAAGAACAAGAATTAAAAAGACAGACCATAGAGATTGACATTGTATATAGACTTTTGAAGATTGAAGTAAGAACCCGGAAGAGAATTTCACAAACGAGGAGTGCGAGAGAAGAAACTGTTAGCATAGAATTTACGGTTACGTCTTGCCATTTCAACTGAAAAAATAATGAGATCTTGCCGCCAGTCTAGTAATGCGCTCAGATTCATAAAGATTAGGGAGCATGTCTGAAAGTTCATCAGAACAATTACCATGAAATTATCTTTAGAAAAGGCACGTAGAAAGCTACGTTACGGGGGTGAGAAAGTGACTGAAGACGATATGCCAGGTTAGAACCAGAAACATTGCAGATGATATTTTTTTTGGAAAATCTCTAAATATGTTGCAGGGACACCAGATTAGATGCTATGAGGTTGGTGCAAAAATAATGACGTAATGATGTCGTTTTTTTATGTATTTTTTAACGTCAAAAAACGACATTATTACGTCATTATTTTTGCACCAACCTAATATTTATGTTAAGTTATATGGGTGTATTAGATGCAAGTGAGACATTTTTTTAATTATTTGCATATGTGTCATTTCAAGTTTGTTGTTTTTTTTAGTTAATTTTCGGGGTCATAAAATCTGTCAGTACTAAGGAGATTTTGTTTTTAATTCTAAGATCTTTTAAAAATGTCTTCCGCTACGGTAAAATATCTTGTGTTTAATGTATCTTTTCTCTTGCTTAAGAATATCATCAGAATGAATACTATATGGTATTTAGTATTTTTTTTTCATGTGATTGTCTAATATTAGACATTATCCTGTTGTGGTCCCAGGTGGTGGTTTGATCAGTGGGAGAGGCAACTGAATGCAGAATAGAGATTATGTTTAAAATCGCTTTAAAATAATTTAATCATGGCCGTCAAAACTGTGTTTTAAAAATCAAACGTTTATTTAATTTGTTTTAGAGCTATTTGAAACATCGGCTTTAATACAATTTATACTTACTCTATCTCAAATATTGAGTAAGGGAAAAGGAACTAACTATATTTTGTTTTTTCTACATTGAAAATAGGACATATATATATATATATATATATATATATATATATATATATATTATGTCTGCTAATTTTAAACAAAATCCGTTCGTACTCACGAATAACCTTCCGTGTATTGTAAAGGATGAGAGAAATGTGCTATAGCTGTTTAAATTTCTTTTATTTTCATTTCCCAAGTACTTTCGATCTTCTTCCAAGATCATCTTCAGGGGTGCAAGTAGTACAGAACTATATGTTGTTAATTAGTATAAATATTTATATAAAGATGTGCGTTGTTATCCATTACCGCAGATTTTTTTTATTATGCTTTTAAATGAAAAACGGTTGACAATGTGCTGAACGTTGATTAGAACGTGAAAAAATTATCCATTATGGAATTTTTTCTCTCTATTTTATAATGTCATGGTCATGCGCGCATTAAAGCATGAAAAAAACTGTTCCTTTACAGGCATTTCAGAACATTACTCTAGCATTCATAGATGATTCTTACCAGTGCCGGCTTTAATTTTTTAATATATATTTCTTCTAGTATCTGTAATCTAAAAGTGTTGTTTTCATGGTGTAGGATAGTTGTGTTATTGATTAATAATTTTTTTATATTTTGAATGAGAACAGAAATGTTGTTGTAGATGTCTCGCAATGGACAAATGTTCAGACATGCGTAGTTTAAGCCTTTTTGCTAGTGTATTTGTTGTATACCTAACATATATATTTGTTTTTGTCGTAAATACATTTTCCCAAGTGACATTTAAATTGGCTTGGTGTATATATATATATATATATATATATATATATATATATATATATATATATATATATATATATATAAGGTATATGGTGAATTTTGGGGAAGTCTGCCGTGTCGAGATAATCTAGTAGAAATGTATTTACGCTTCTGATACAAAACTGAGGAGAAATTCTAACGAGTAAACTGTACTTTGAAGGCGAATAGAAGCTTGCTCAATTGTGAAGCTCTTCGTAAACCCATGGTCAAATCACGTCGGACTAAACGGCGGCCTATCCAGGAAAGGTAGGCGTGTAGGTTCGAATCCTACCGAAGGATATATTTTCTGAAATAAGCTTTCTCGAATCTGCAGATCAGTCGACGAAATATAATACTGTTTAAAATAACAGCAAACGTTTACTCAAATACGAGAACACACTAAATGGAGTTTAAAGCAATACATACATAAATATATATATATATATATATATATATATATATATATATATATATATATATATATATATATATATATATATTGTATTGGGGCGGCAGATTATTATTTAAGCATATATTGTTAAATATATCAGGCAACAGATGTCTATTATGTTTGATAATTAACCGTTCTAAACTTCGTATGGTTGCTTTAATTTCGTGTGAAAATAAAGACAACATTGTTCAAAGTTTGGATATCTTTTTATTAGTGTGTTATTTGATCCAAGCTTTATTTGAATTTTAATATTTGTGTTTAAATGCCAGAATAACCACTGAGAACATGGCTCATGTGAGGCGAAATCATAGAGCAAGTAATAGATTAAGAAAAAAAAATCGAAAAGTTGGAGAATTTTTGTCTTTATTTTTACCCGAAATTAAAGCAAATATACGGAGTTTAGGACAGCTCACCATTGGCTGTTATATCTAAGAATATATATATATATATATATATATATATATATATATATATATATATATATATATATATAATATGTGAAAATATAGAAAATAGGAAGGAACTGGTTAGGTGAATAATCCAAAGTCACTTAGTATTTAAGTTATTATTTTTAAAAATAGTGCTCGATACAAAAGTAGAGCATAAATATAATTATTTATTTAAAAATATGATTCAAATCGAATAAGAGGTCTCATGTTTTCAAACAAGAGCGAAAACTTCAATATAATCCTTTAAATTAAATTGAGTTTAAATTAAAATGGGCTGTTCCATCTTCAAGCAATTCTTTTGTTGAATCAACAAAAATTTCGCTTGAACTCAATTAATTTAAATTAATTTAAATTTAAACTCAATTTAATTTAAAGGATTATATTGAAGTTTTCGGCTCTTTTGTTTTGAAACATGAGACCTCTTATGTAGCGATTTGGAATCATATTTTTAAATAAATAATTATATATATATATATATATATATATATATATATATATATATAAAAAATCATTTCACCCAGAGCAAAGTGTGTGCCTGTGTATTTGAGCATAACTTTGAAAATCACGGTACTTATACTTTTAAAGGAACTTTTTTCCCAACACGTCTCCAGAGAAACAATCCGGCAGGTGAAATCTCTTTCTCTCCCCCCTCTCTCTCTCTCTCTCTCTCTCTCTCTCTATATATATATATATATATATATATATATATATATATATATATATATATATATATATATATATATGTGTGTGTCTATGTGTAAAAATATTTTAGTAGACCTACAAACATAGAAATCTTTTACTTTCAACCTATTCTGAAAGATTGGATGAGGATTTACCATAGATTAAAATAAAAGGCTAAATGATTGTCTTACTTTCAAGCCATTCTGAAAACGAGATGACGATTTACCTTTTAATTCGATACAAAATCGTTGGGTCAACTTTCAACATGAACTACGAATTATAAAGGAAAGATCCAGAATAAATATTGACGGCTTTTTTTAAAAGTCATTCCTGTTCTTTCTTCTTTAATCACGAGAAACACCTGCTGAGTGGAAAAAATAAGTACGATGATTCATTATACACACAAACACACATACTCAGATTTATTTCCAGTTTGTGGATCTGATGAAGCCGAGAAGAGCGAAACGCGTAATCAAATCTATTTTCAGCGAAATCTTTTCCATACAAACACACGCGGACACACACACATACAGAGATAGACACACTGATATATATATATATATATATATATATATATATATATATATATATATATTTTAAGCGTTTCACCCCAAGCAAGGCGGGAAGCCACTAGGACGCAAGAGGTTACAGAAAATTTAGAACAAGATCAGATAGGAGTAATAGAAGAAAGGATGAGGATAGTGGATAGGTCAAGGCAACTGGAGATGTCGATTGACATTACATTTGAATAGCTGGAGATTATAGCTCTCAGGGAAACTGGAATAGGGAAGGGAGTTCCACAGGCGAGAGGTGCGAGACATGAAGCTATTTGAGTAGAAGAGGCGGCTACATTTAGGAGTTTCGACAGTGAAGGTGAGAGCGGGGTGCCAGTCTCGTAAGGCGCTGGAACTCATGACGTCTGGGAACCAGCGAATGCAGCTCCTCGGAGCAATTGCCATGAATGTACTTGTAAAGAGGCGACGGGGTGTCTGTGAGAACGTGACTGGGGACAAGATGCCAGAGCAGGGGCCAATTATATAACATATCCGCCTCTGGAGCCTATTAAGAAACCCGAGGCAAACAGAATGGGCTCCAGACCATATATGGGAGCAATACTCCATGCAAGGGCGAATTGTTGATTTGTAGATCCGGAGGATCGATTCCGTATATATATATATATATATATATATATATATATATATATATATATATATCAATAAAAGAATTAAACATGCGGGATGACATTTTATCTGTCTTTTGTGGTGAATAATTCATTTCTGTTGTGACGTATCAAACATGGTGGATAGGAATGTTACATAAAGCTTGTAAAGATAAAATTGTGTAAGGGTAGCAGTAATGATGGCGATACTCACAGAGGTAGCACTTTGATGCATGATGCAACAAATAAAGTCTTACCTACCATTATTTTAAAATGCTGAAATGAAAATATTGTCAACACTGTCCTTCCTGATTCCTTACGATGGGTTTCGTTTGGTTCGGCATATCAACTTTTCATGTGTCATTTAATGCCGAAATTTTCTTTTCTTCCGAGCTTTGATAATATTTTTTCTATGAAAATGAATTACTGGTTATTATTATTATTATTTTTTTTCTATATTCATTTTTATATTTCAGTGTTTTGACCCCAGTTTGGGTGTTCACTATTTAACCATAGCGGGGACCCTAACAGATAATACCAAACTCTTATGATGCGTAAAAGAATGCGCTTCTGATTTTGAGAGAATGTCCATGTGGTGAAATTCCAGTTCAACATCTTTGGCCTTTTTAGGACATTAGATTTGCCATTTCTTTTATATATTTTCGGCTTAGGCAATTATTTTAATTAAAAATAAATTCTTTAAATCGAAATATAAATACTAAAAATATTAATACACACGTATCTATCTATCTATCTATCTATCTATCTATCTATCTATCTATCTATCTGCGTCAGACTGTTTCTATCCACCCTATTCGCATCTATCTATCTATCTATCTATCTATCTATCTATCTATCTGCGTCAGACTGTTTCTATCCTCCCTGTTCGCATCTATCTATCTATCGATCGATCTATCTATCTGCGTCAGACTGTTTCTATCCTCCCTGTTCGCATCTATCTATCTATCTATCCTATCTATCTATCTATCTATCTATCTATCTATCTATCTATCTGCTGCTCAGACTGTTTCTCTCCTCCCTGTTCGCATCTATCTATCTATCTATCTATCTATCTATCTGTGTCAGATATCACTTTTCTATCCTCCCTGTTCGCTTCTATCTATCTATCTATCTATCTATCTATCTATCTATCTATCTATATACAAAATGTGATGGAAAAATTGTCATCGAAATTACGCAAAAATGAAAATAACACTGACAACTCATTTTAACAGATATATTTACCAAAATTACACAAAAATTTTCTTGAAATACTAAAGAGTAAATTTATTCAATAAAATCAACACAGGCTTCAATCACAGTCTTCAGGCGATATCGTAATCTCCTGCTTTTCTTCAGGGCGGTCTCCTTGGTAAATGCTGCCATAATCCTTGCCTTCAGTTTATCTTTGGTGTTAGAAGGCGTTTTGTTGGTCTCTCGCTTAACTATCCACCCACCACAAGTAAAAATCCAGAGAGTTGCAGTCTGACGAGTTGGGTGGCCAGATACACGGGGTAATTGTGGTCGCAGAAATTGTCTGACAGCCATGACTGGATTCTTCTGCTTGTGTGACATGATGCGGAATCATGTTGCCAAATATAGGGCCTTCCAGCAAGCACCCTCTTGATACAGGAGAGCCCTACCTCCTCAAGGCACTTGATGGAGTCGTGCCTTTTGAGTCTAATGCCCTCATCAACAGATTCAGGATTTTTTTTTATCATAACGATCAGAGTGAGTTTTCCGAGCTGTTGTACATTCGTAATCACTATTAGACTCATCCAACTCTTTCTGAATCCTCTGCAATGTCCTTAGCTTGACACCCACTCTGAAATAAGCGTATTGGAGCTTCCGGCGCGAATGCCAAACAGTAGAGCATTTTAAATTTCTGGCAGAGCGAATTACGTCATGGTACTTTTTTTCTCACAGACGTTGTCCAACTGACCCTACTATATTAAAAACAAACAACGCGCATGCGCGAAATTAAAAATATAATAAGGCGACAATTTAACCATCACACCGTGTATAATGTGGATGTGCGGTGGTGTAATGTGTACCTACTCGTAATAAGAACTCGAAGAGTCGAGTTCGAATTCCAGTCGACTGCGTTACATTCATTTAGACGAAAGGTAAATATCTATCTCTTCTCCTCTCCAGCTATATGTAAATATTAAGATAGACTACATCATTTTGCCTTGGCTGGCAACCAGTTTAGAAGAAGGAAACATTTGAATTTAAACCAAGCTGGGGAGGATTTTGCTTCGTTAAGCTAGAATACCCCAGACACACCACTGCCGCAACAGCTGTGGGGGCTCCTCTGACGCCAATAGATTATAGGACCAATGCTGGTTATTATGACCTTTTCACAAGGGGGGGGGCGATTGCCAGCTTAAATATGATTCTTAAAGGCGATAATTGTTAAGCTAAGCCTGTCAAGATTCTGCTATACTACGACTTTACAAAGGTTAGGGAATGCGTGTAGAAAGTGATAAAAACAGATAAAACACTTTTATGTGATACAATCGGGAAATACTTAGCCTCAGTTCTCTAAATGTTCACCCCTAAACAAATTTATCGATGCAGATCCTAACCAGGGTACAATGAAAGCTGAACTTTAACACTAGAGAAATGTGTAAAGAAAAAAAAGGTTTTTCTTCATTGAAGTCATTTGACCCTTTGAACATCGAATTGTACGGAAAATGTGCTCTTCGAATCAATATTTTTAATTGTTTCTCAGTTTTGGTATCAGATTTCCACATAAGTACAAATAGAACAAGATATACATTTTATTTACAAAATTAAAATCTACTAAAAAATATAAATCCTGACTAATGACTACACTTGCTCGTTGTGTCTATCAGCATGTCAAGTTGAACCTCCAAGACTTGATACAGCTTCAGGCGTAAGTCTCCTTTACTTTCAATTGGAAATAAATTACATTTCTTTGTGAGCACCTTATTTGTTGCAGAAAATCCGATCTCAGCTAACCAGGTGGTGGAAAGACCAATTAAGAACGGAATAACCTTTTCAAAGAGCAAAGGACGGGAGGATTTTACTTTCAGCCATTCAATCAATCTTCCTCCTTCATTTTCCCCCCCAATCAATACTTTGTTCTCTTCTGTTCAGTAGAAATAATGGGATCGATGTCCTGCTAACCTAAGGCACATTTTTAATATTTCTCGGTCCCAGTTGTGGGTCGAAGGGCCCAGGTTGAGAATCAGTGGTTTAAATCATTACATTTTTTTTCATCGGGAAATCGGCACTCGAGTTAATGTCAGTAACAGTCTAATCGATCTTTTCAAAGTTGAAAACGATGTTAAACAACGGGATGTATTTGGTCCAATCTTTCTTTTCTCAATGGTGATAGGTAGCTAATTTTGAAATACGTTAGTGAACCGCGGGTGAGCATCTCAAAAAAAACAAAAAAAGGAAAGAAAAAAACACATTGGTCCATTTAGCTCAATTGTGCAAGTCCGCTGTGGGCTCTGTAGAAGGCCGAAGACTATCGGTAGAAACATGCATCTCAGAGACAAAATCATTTTATGAATTTATTGAAAATCTTCTTTAAGTTCATGGACATTTTTTTAAGCTTAGCTTAGCTGTGGCACAAGGCCGAAAGTATGGGGTACCCAGTGGAAATTGAACTCACTATTCAGTCGGAACCGATCTAGCATGATAAGCTTGTTAACCATTACAGCACGTCGAAGTATCCTTGGTGATTTTTTAGCGTAGCCTAGATGTGACACAAGGCCGAAAGTATGGAGTACCCTGTGAGGATTTAACTCGCTATTCAGTCGGAACTGATCTAGCGATTAAGCTTGTTAACCACTACACTACATCGAAGTATCCATGGTGATTTTTAAGCGTAGCCTAGATGTGCCACAAGGCCGAAATTATGTGGCACCCAGTGAGGATTTAACTCACTATTTAGTCGTTACTGATCTAGCTTGTTAACCACTACACTACGTCGAAATATCCGTGGTGATTTTCTAAGCATAGCGGCACAAGATCGAAAGTTTGGGGCACACAATGTGGCGCACTCACTATTAAGTCGTAACTGATCCGGCAAGACAAGCTTGTTAAGCATTACTCAACGTCGAAGTGCCCATCCTTTAAGCTGATCTATGTGACCTTATAGCGTATTCTCAAGAGGACATGCATCTGTTGATGAACAGTCTTTCTACAGCTTGTAAATGTGAATCGTTGTTTTTGAATCCGTTTAAAGAAAAGTCCTGTTATGATTCTACCAGCTGCAGGTTGTAGGTACGGACTAAAATCTATACTGACCATTCTAAAGACATGGGTTCGAATCTCACCAAAGTCAATTTTTCAGGACGGCGATTTAGATGAGATCTCAGCGTGAGCCACGGTTATAAAAAGAATGAAAACTATACAAAGTGTTCACCCAAGATTGAAATTGGGTGGACAGAACTGAATATTGTTGGCTTGTAGTTGGAAGATGTGTGTATGTAAAGTTCTTTGTCGTTGGGTTTCATATATGTTTTATATGAACCTTTTTTTCGGTTGAGTGAGGTATCTAATAAAGAGATAATAGTTGTAATCTCCTTCATGGACCAATGCATACTACTAAATAAACGATCAGAACTCATCTGCAGACACGAAAAGAAATTTTTATTACGTTACTTACAAATCGAGGACTGAAAGCGAATACCTTGTAAAATACCACAATGAAAAGTGCAAATGGATGCTCTACTAGCTTTAAAGTCGTCCTATCGCACGGCATTTAGGCTAGCTCCTGTTGAGGACTCTTGATTCGGCTTTCGGCTTGTTCAGGAATTTGAAAGTTCCTAAGGCATTGCATATTTTCAGAATCGAAAGCTCTACAGGCTGCCATTGATCTGGGTTTTTAATTGCATGCGCCTTTCTTTTCTTCGATGCAGCCTTGGCTCTTTTGATTGCAATCTTATTTTGACGGAGATTTCTTTTTGCGAGGCATACGGCTGTTGTATGCGATATGCAACAATAAACTACAGAACTCAAAATTGATCGCTGCATTTAAGTATTGCATTAATGTTTAAGCTTACCGTTTAAAGGTTCAATAATAATTCTTCTGCCGCCACTCAATTTAAAGATAACTTAATGCACGTAGGTCCTTACTTTACACGAAAAAAAAAATTATATCATCGGTGACATTCGCTCTATTTCGCAATTAATTTCCATTATTCCCAAATTTATTTCTAGGTTATAAAAATTGTTACCGTACAAATAAATTCGTTGCAAAAAATCACGTACAAAAGATCACCGAAAGTAATCGATATCGTTAAAACTTGGGAAACCAAAATTTCAGGATTACGGGTCTGGATTAGGCTCTGAGTGTTTGTAATTTGCTCAGGGAGTCGGCCTGATTCCAAAATGGTATGATATGTTGCGCTATGGCCTCTAGGAGTAAAGTTGAAAAAGTGTGACACACTGACATTTGCATTTATTTCTATAGATATGCAACGCAGATAATGTAACATACTTTATACAAACTTAAGAATTTAAACAAAACAAATAAGATAGCGAATCCCCGAAAAAAAAACTAAATAAATATATAAACAAGTAATAAAGTAAATAATAGTAAATAATGAGTAAAAAGTTAACAAAGTAGACCTTGCTAGCCATAATGCACCAATGACCAGCATATATAAATGAAGATTGGTTTAAGTCATGAAACAGACTGTCACCACTTGGTGTTGACCTAAGTGTCCACTTCTCTCTCTCTCTCTCTCTCTCTCTCTCTCTCTCTCTCATATGTATATATATATATATATATATATATATATATATATATATATATATATATATATATATGTGTGTGTTTGAGTGTGTGTGTGTTTGAGTGTGTGTTTGACACTACAATATGTTTGGCACGCAGACTCACTCTACACCTTTCTGACCATAGCTCAAATAGATCTCATTTAAATATTCATGGAGACCTACCGGACACTATTCGTAACATACTTGTTGACAACACTAATGTAATAGTATCATCTACATGCAAAAAAATGGCGAAAAATAATGGAAGCCTTATTAATAAAAAAAAAACAACACTTAATAATATTAACTTTGAACATGGACACAATATCTTGACCGTGTTTTGAAAAATCAAAATATTTTATAAAACATACATACAACAAACTATTTCTTATATAACAGTTAAAATATTCAATCCTTGAAGATGGCTAAATGTATAGCCGAAAGCGCTCGTATAAAAAGAACATTCAGACAGTTTTTATATAATTTATCATCCGAAAAGAAAAACAAAATTAGATCACATCAGTAATTGTGTAAAACCTAAATAAAAGCACCTTTGCCTGTTGTATTTAATAAATGTGCATGAAAGAAAGATTGCTGCCTAAATATATATATATATATATATATATATATATATATATATATATATATATATATATATATATATATACAGAGAGAGATAGAAAAGAGAGAGTATACACATTAAGGAAAGAAAAAAAAACTTGTCTTTTGTAGTTTCATCAAATCGCAATGACACTATTTACTGTTGTAGTAAGACGTGTGACATTACATTGGCAGACTTTCGACAAGGAATTGAAAATGCATATGAAGCAATCGCACTGAACAATCGCACTTTATCCAAGCAGTCGTTCGCCGTTTTGAAGCTAAATGCCACCATTTTGATCATGTCTTGTGATTGTAGGGACCAAATTTAAATTGTATTAATCTCGTGATATTTGAATAAATTTAGTGTTACAATATCTGTGCAAATTTTCCTTTTCTCAAGTGCATATACAATTTTGGGGCGGACTCTGTAAATATTGGGCAAAAGAACTAATGTCGTGATAACACCATTCCAAGCCTGTGTGCTCAGATGATATGTTCATTTTGGATGTTCCTGGGGGACTGACAACCGACTGTCAGAATTATGACTATTTTTCATTTTACATTGATATTTTTCCCTGTTTAGGTAATTTAGTATTTCTTGTCATTTTATGAAGACTGTGAGTTCAATCCCTGGGCTGGGCAGTACACACTGTCTATCAATACCTAAGCAATAATAATAATAATAAAATGCCTCCTTATTGATAGGGCAGTCCCTGTAGACTGCAATGTATCTTTGAATATATTAAAAAAGCTGTCAAAATACAAGGACCTTGAAATAGAAATCTCGAAAATGTGGCACATGGGAACAGCAACAATCCCTGTTGTAGTTGGAGCCCTTGCATCTGTTTTTCGGCGTTTCCTTCTTTCCTCTCTACCACTCACCATCTATCATTCTTTCTTTCTTTCTTTTTCACATACTCTTCGCTTCTCTCTTTTTCGTTCTTTCTTTCTTTCTTTCTTTCTTTCTTTCTTTCTTTCTTTCTTCTTCTTCTTCTTCTTTCTTCTTCTTCTTCTTTCTTCTTCTTCTTTCTTCTTCTTCTTCTTCTTCTTCTTCTTCTTCTTCTTCTTCTTCTTTCTTCTTCTTCTTTCTTCTTCTTCTTCTTCTTCTTCTTTCTTCTTCTTCTTCTTCTTCTTCTTCTTCTCCTCTTCGTAGTTTCTCATATTCTCCTCTCCTGTTTTCCTTCTGATTATTGAAAAGCAAGAAAATAATTTTAGATTGTAAGAATCTTTTTTAAGATCATAATGGTTCACTAATACATGCATTACTAATTAACCCATAGTTGGAGGGAGAAGAGGGGGAGTTATATCTTTCCAAGGGATATTAGCGCATAAGTGAATATAACGAACCCAATTGGAATTTGAACTCGGCTCTCCGATTAACAATTCCAATCCATTATCGATAACGCCACCCGTACATCGAAGCTTACAGCCCCTAGTATTCCCAAGCAGTCAACGATCTAGGTGCTGAGCAGGTTTGACGTTGCTTGGGGTTTCCGTGCTCGTACAGGGAATCGATTTTTCAACCGGATGTGACCGTAAGCCTAAAATTCCCCTAAGGTTATCTGTATTGACTGACACCTGATGAAGGTCACGCTGTACAACGACCGAAACACTGTGGTCATAGCAACACAAATTAAGATTGCTAAGGTTTTAGTCTACAAATAACTCATCTTAGAAACCCAAAAAGGAAACCTTGTAATTCATACGATAATGGTCATGTTAGCAAAATGCCGTGAGTAAATTGTAAATGGTTTAATTCTTGTCTATTCATATTGACTGTTAATCTTTCCTGGATGAAATTTCTGGAAGATATTTCTGGAAGATATTTCCAGCTCCTGCTGTCATCATCCTCATTATTCGACCTCCGTATAGTTGGTCGGAACACCACTGACAGTTCCACATTATTCGGTCCTGCATTGCTGTTCCCAGATCAACAATGTCCAACCCTGAGTCCTGAGCTATAGTGTCAGATAAAGACAATTTTTGTAAGAAGACACTTCCAGAAGGATGCTATAGGAATAAGGATGTGACGATTTCCCTGTCTGTTCGGTGGCAGTGGCCGTTAATCTCATGCTGTAAATAACTTACGTAACATCGTATCACCTTCTCTCACTCCTTTTCCAATTTTTATTCAATCTCCTGTCTTTGTGTAGTCGAATTATTGTGGCATTGTTATCGATCAATTCGCATGATGTCTTTTCTAATTTACGTTAATACTCTATTCTCTTAGAGAGATGTAAGACTGCTGAGTGTTCTACCGAGTCAAATACCTTTTCATCGACAAAATCAGCGAAACAGTGTGTTTTGGAATGGTTTATTGTTTATTTATTTCGGTTAGTTTGTAGACGGTCAGTTGTTGAAATAAATTCTAGAACCGAGCCCTCCCTGTGGATAATTAATTTAAATATATCTTTTCTTATACCTATTTTGTAAACTCCCCTAAAATCTAAATCGGGTTTATACAGATACAATATTTACTTCTATTTGATACAAAGTAAAAAAAAAGGGATTTATGGTGCTAGCAGGTCCCACTGATTTACGAGTCTGACGCAGTACAATCATTCTTCACTTACGTTTCCTTGATTTCTCGATTTCTAGTTATAACCAGGTACACCATAAACCTGACATAAGTTATTCGACACATTTTTTTTTTCAAATGATTTTCAAAGCCCACCAACTTTTCTTATTTCGAGTTAGGAGTAATTTTCATTTCTGGTGGAATTTGCAAAAAGAGGTATGACAAAAGATATATTCAAACAAAACTACACATGTTTACGAGTACGTTCTAGAATTGGATTTGACAGTGAAAAGGTATTTGACTCGGCAGAACACTCGGCAACTTTACACACATTAAGCGCAAATAGAATTAACGAAAAATTATCAGAAAGTCACTGCAAATAAATGCGATAAGACTGTTGCAATAATTTGACTTTCAATAGATGACTGACGAAGCAGATATTTTTCCCGTAGTAGGTTGCCATTTCTGTGGTAGACCAGTTGCTATCCAAGGCTATAGAAGCCGGTGTGTCCTGCTATTTATCCATAGCTGGTGGGGTAGAAGAAGCGGATTCGTATCTTTCCCTGGGGCATTAGCATGTAAGTGAATTTTAGTCAGTTATGTTCCATGCTTGATACACGTTTAGGCGATCACGTATCTTATGACATGAGCAGTTGCTATCCAAGGCTATAGAATCTGGTCTGTCCTGCTATTTACCCATAGCTGGTTGGAGGGGGTGGGAGAAGAGGATTCATAGCTTTCCCAAGGGTATTAGCACGTAAGGGAATGTAATGAATTCGACTGGAATTCGAACTCGGCTCTTCGATTCCTCAGTCCGAATCGCTATCCATTACTCCCCGTGATTAACAGTAACATGCAAAAATTAAACACTAAACATGGTTTTACACCGACTGCGACCCAGTCACTATTTTGTGTTGCTACTCACAGTAGCAACACAAAATATCACCCAAACTTTTTCTAACTCATTTTTCGACAATAACTAAATTTTTCTGACGCTAAGGCGCTAGGAAAATTTCATCGAAAAATTGTTTTACAAACATCAGCACTTAGTCCTTAGCTTGGGAGTTGAAAATTTTAAAAAAATGCATTGGTAGTAAGTAAGATTTACTGACAATATATATGGATTAAATAAATATAAAAGTGGACATTGAAGTCAACACTCAGAGGCGATAGTCTCTTTTATGCGTATACGCAATCATCAAGTCTGAGAGAGAGAGAGAGAGAGATCAATGTGTAGTATTTGAAGAGGAATCATAGCTTTCCCAATGGTATTAGCACGTAAGGGAATGTAATGGATTCGATTGGAATTCGAACTCGGCTCTTCGATTCCTCAGTCCGAATCGCTATCCATTACTCCACCGTGCCTCCTAATTCGGCGGAATAAACAATTAAAAATAATATCTTTTTTTTTTATTGTGAATAATATTTTATATTAAGAGTGAAACCTAGTAGATTCAAGAGATATTTGTAGCGGCTACACTTAATTTATGATGGTGGATACTGTTATCAACCTTGAAGAATTCAAACGACTTATTTGCTGGTGTCGCAGAGAGTACTTTCATCCATCCTTTTTCTTCTTTTTTTTTTTTAGCTTGTATGGCAAGTCATCGCTACTGCTATATGCTTTTGTTTCCCTACTTCTGTGCGCGGACCGATATATACACAAATAGGTTCGGGGTGAAATTTAGCTCAGGGACTGTAAAAATTTGTATTTCTTAAAGATTTTGTTTAGGTTTCTACGGCTTACTAATGTAAGTAACTGCATGTAATTTGACCTACGGTGAGCCTGACATACATTCTACAAGATGAGTAAATTAGGGTCTATGTGAGGAAAACATGGAAATTTAGTCTCTGTATTTTAGTAAATTATTTTTTAAAAAACTAAACTAGACCGGCTAAAAATATAACTCGGGTTTATACAGAAACAATGTTTATTTCTTTTTGAACTTCTTTGTGCTGTGTGCCTTCAGGACAAAGTCGATCATGGATCTCCACAACTTCCTGTAGGACTTTGTGTAGTTCTTAGCAGTTTACTAAGATCTTTACTAAGCCTCCACCTCCGTTCTACTATCGATTCCCACAAGCTCGTCAGGCACATGACTCGCTGTCATCCCCTTATCTCTCTGGCCCTAAATGAGAGTCAAATTTTCAAATCCCTCCTTCCTCATTATGTTTTCAAGGGATTTTATCTGTGTTTTTTTTTCTTGATTTTGAGTATAAGTGTTCTTTTTGTTGTCACTTTCTTCAAGACTTTCTGGTCGCTTACACTCTTCATCCATGGAATTCTCAGTATCCTTCTGTAGTACCACATTTCTGCTGTTTCTTGTTTTTCTACCGCCGTGGAGAGATTGTCCAGAATTCCCTACCATATAAGAGGCTGGATATCACATGACAATAAGAAACTCTTTCGTTTATTCATTACAGAATGCCTCTTTAGCTAATCCAATGCATACTTTGGATCTCGGTGTCGCATTTTTCATCCTCTGTTACAACGCACTTCCAGGCATTTGAACTTCTCCAACTGTTTGATATTTATATCTCCAATTCGTAACAAGCATCTTGGAATTATTTTCTTGCTGCTGATAGATAATCTTTTTGTCACGCTTTCTTAACAACTAGAAGGCCTTGTAGTTTCGTTTTGTAGTCGACCATCAACACAGTGTCGTCTGTATATCTTATATTGTCAAGATTATGCCCAGCGATAATAAATACTGGTAGGGTTCTAAGTTTTCTTAGGATGGCGTCGCTGTAAAAGTTGTCTGGGGAGATGACGCATTCTTGTCTTTCTTTTTTTTGCATAGGGACTCTTATCTTCTATCAAAATGCAAGAAGTTTGCTCGCAGGATAATTTCTGGATTATTATAGTACCTTCTCGAAATAGATCGTGCTTCCCTAGCAGTTTAAATAGATCCTCGTGCCATACCTTGTCAAAGGATTTTGCGTAATCTATTTAATGTCAAGCAAAAAGAACCCCCCACAAAAAAAAAAAAACGGATTTCAGATCTTAACATGTTTCAAAGTTTGTCACATTACAACAATTCTTAAAGGGGGGCAAGGGATTAATGGAAAGAGATTTGGAGAGATCTTAGATTAGGATAGAGTTTATAAATTATAATTAATATTGGTAAAGAGTAGGGGAATATAGAAATTATAATTAGCTAAATATCCCAAAATATTATCTATAAAAATAAAAAACAACCTATTTCAAGCCAAAACTATACAGCCATGATGACAGTTGTCGACAACAGGAAGCGCTCGACAAAACACCAAGGACTGGGGACTTTTTTCAACAACTTAGATCCCAAGACAAAGAAACTCACAAAAAAAAAAAAAAAAAAGGAAATATTCGGCATCTCTTCACCAGTACTGTTTTCAATTGAAATTTTGAAAATCTTTTACTTAAATGAACACCTAAGGAAAATAGTTTTCTTAACTCCAGTAGCTGTTATCGCTCTTTCCAATATTGCTGGAAGTTTCCTTCCTATCCTTTTGTTTGAAGTAGTGTGGATTGTCAACATCTTGATTATGTCATTATTTTCTCTTTCAATTGAAATTTATATAATCAATTTTAGAAAACAGGTTTATCCATAATCGCTATATTCCTTCCCTAAAAGTACATTATTTCTCGAAATTTTTAATCTATAGGAAAAACAGGTTTCTGAAGTCCAGTAACTGTTATCGCTCTTTCCATTATTCATGGGTGTTTTCTTCCTAACCTTTTGGTTGAAGTAGTGTGGAATGTCAACATCTTGATTATGTCATTATTTTCTCTTTCAATTGAAATGTCAACATCTTGATTATGTCATTATTTTCTCTTTCAATTGAAATTTATATAATCTATACCTTAAAAAACGTTTTTAGGAAAACAGGTTTCTCAAGTCCAGTGGCTGTTATCGCTCTTTCCAGTATTGATGGAGGTTTCCTTCCTAACTTTTTTATTTGAAGTAGTGTGGAATGTAAACATCTTGATTGTCATTATTTTCTCTTTGAGTTACATGTGCTATACATTTTAGCCGTTCCTGTTAGTAGGAACTTTTATCAAATGCGACTCACAAGTTACTATGATTAAGCTTTTTATTCCATTTTCTTGTGTTATATTTTCTGGAAATTAAGTACGTAAAAACTGTCCAAATGTTTTATATATTCGCGAGCTTTCGGATATTCTCTTAACCATTATGAAGCTTTATCAAAGCGCTCGGATATATAGAACAGTTTGATCGTTTTTACGCACTTTATGTCCAGAAAACACTTATACGAACACAAGAAAAATTGAATCGCAGTTCCTTTTCAGTGGTCTTTAATGAAAGTCCTATAAAAGATATATATAATATATATATATATATATATATATATATATATATATATATATATATATATATTATATCTGTAAAATGTCTATATGAATAAAGACGAAATGAAAACTTATGGTAGCCGACGCGTTTCGTCCTCTGATGGATTTTAAAACATTTGCCTTGATAAAGTACCTCTGAAAATGGAACGCTTCAGCTAAGAAAAGTTTTCCATTTATTTACATTATTCGAACTATTGTCCTCATCTTTGTCGCCATATTTATGACAACGTTCCGGCCGTTGTACGGCTCGGCCTTCTTCAGGTGTTTGGAATGTCGAACTGAACCCTGTAAATAATGTACATAATACCTCATCTCAAAAATATAGGCAGATACTAAAGGATCGGTACGGACCCAATATACCAAAAATATGGTTTTCCTTTTTGTCTCTCTCTCTCACACACACACACACACACACACACACACACACACACACACACACACATATATATATATATATATATATATATAACTTAGTGGATAATTGTTTTGTATAGATGTATCTGTTTTTTAACCAGTATAATTATTGTTTTACTGGATTGAGTTTTGCGAGAGACTTTTAATAAATATGCTTTCGTCCTCTTAAAATACATATATATATATATATATATATATATATATATATATATATATATATATATATATATATGTGTGTGTGTGTGTGCGTGTGTGTATGTGTGTGTATGTCAGTGTGCATGAATCTGTGTATGTGTGTGTGCATGCGTGAGTGTGTGTATATGTGTAGAAACAAGAATAAATAGCCATTTTTGTTTTTACGAGGCAAACTGCTCGGATTTTGAATGTACATTTTTAAAAGATAAGTAGATCATTTTCACATGGATTATTGACGCAAGACAGTCTTTCTAATCTCTTGATATCCTTTGTGATCCAGTACTATTGAAAGCTGAAAAAAAAAATGATCCCAATTCGTTTATTTATTTATTTTTTTTTTGTTATCTTGTCATGAGTTAAGGACGCCATTAAGCGACTGCTAATCTCGCAAAGCTTCACTTAAAAATATTAAGTTCTCTTCTTGTTGATTTGTATCCCCGCAGTGACTACTATCATGTTTCTTGCAATGTGTGCTACTTGCTTGTGCGTAAGGTACAGTTCAAGTCGTAATCATTGTGACGACGACGACGGCCACTATTGTTATCTCAGCTGAAACTGCTCTTCATTCACTAGTAATGACTAATTGCAGTAGCAGTGGCGATTTCGAGAGGGAGCAGGCCCTCCTCCTTCTGTTAGAGACTTTACTCCTCCCCTTAAGGTTTCGCTCGACGGGCGAAAAGAGTGAACAAACATCAACTTTGCCTGCTCCTCACGGACTTGTCTACGAACACTGACACTGCTTTCTTTCTTTCTTTTTTCTTTCTTTCTTTCTTTCTTTCTTTTTTATTTCATTCTATCTATCTATCTATCTATCTATCTATCTATCTATCTATCTATCTATCTATCACAGTCCTTTCTTCAACCCCGGTTTTCTTCTTTGTTTATTTTCTATTTTCTTTTTTACTATCTTATTTCTTCTTCCTTTCTTCTACACTATTTGATTCGCCCTTTTTCTTCCTTCTTATCTTCATTCCTGATACTGGTTACTTCTTACTTCATTTCTTATTTTCTTTTTCTTCACTTTACTTTCTCTTGTATCTTAACATCGTTTTTTTTTTTTTTTGCCCAACTTCTTCAGTGTTCTTCATCGCTTTCTTTTTTTTTTCCTTTTTCTTTTTTTCTTTCTTTCTTGTTCTTTTTTTTCTTTTCAACTGTCTTTTTTTACTTGTTTCCTTTCAATTCTATTTTTCTTTTTATTCGTTATATTGTTTTTATTTACTTTTCCATTCTCTTGCGGCTTAAACTCGTTTTTCATCTACTTTTTCTTTTTTTGACCTTTTCTTTTTTTTTCTTCACTGCCATTATTATTAACCTTTCTTCTTCACTTTCTTTCTTTCTTTCTTTCTTTCTTTCTTTCACATTTCTTCTTCTTTTTCTTTTTTCTTCCTTACAATTATCTCTCTTTTATACTTCATTATTTTCTTGCATCTGTTTTCTGTGTTATCTTCTTTTCTCTCGACCACTCACCATCTATCATTCTTTCTTTCTTTTTTCTTTCTTTCGTTCTTTTCTTTCTTTCTTTCTTTCTTTCTTTCCTTCTTTCTTTCTTTCTTTCTTTCCTTCCTTCCTTCCTTCCTTCTTTCTTTCCTTCTTTCTTTCTTTTTTCTTTTTCTTTCTTTCTTTCTTTCTTTCTTTCTTTCTTTCTTTCTTTCCTTCTTTCTTTCTTTCTTTCTTTCTTTCTTTCTTTTCTTTACTCTTTGTTTCTCCCTTTCCCTTATTTCTTCTTCTTCTTCTTCTTCTTCTTCTTCTTCTTCTTCTTCTTCTTCTTCTTCTTCTTCTTCTTCTTCTTCTTCTAATTCATCTTCGTGTTCATCTAATTTTTTTCTTCTAATACTTCTTCTTCTAATTCTTCTTCTTTGTCCTTTTCTTCTTCTAATTCTCCTTTGTCTTCTTCTTCTTCTTTTTCTTCTTCTTCTTCTTCTTCTTCTTCTTTTGTTGCGTCCTTCTCTATTTTGAACTAACTTTCTTCTTCCATCACTAGTAGCACCTGACGGCCTTCGCTTGTGATTTGATACGCTTTACATATCAACAATAAGAGTCGGTTTCTGGTTGTTGATCAGTGTCAAGTGACAACAAGATTCTTCAGCTCTCCAGCAACTTCCTCATTATTCCCGACATCGATCAGGAAGGTCTCATTTATTTTTTAAAAATGATGTTCACTCTGTACCAGGCCCAAGAGCCACTCGAGGTTGAGAGTTATAGAGTAAGAGACGGAGTTTTTGGGGATATATGGGGAAGATAACGGTTAACCCTAGACCTGAACAGATTAAGATTTTAGTGACCGGGGAAGCATCCCCTTGGGAGTTGGTTCCATAAAAAAAGCGATTCGTTGGAAGAAGCTGCTCGAGTTGTTCGTAATTATTGTTGTTGATTGATAGCTGAATTTTCTCGACTTTTCGCATCTAGTGTCGTTCGCTAAAGATCAAGTGACAACAAGTTTTCTCAGTAGTTTTCCATTCTTCTGTAACTGTTAGTTTTAGTAATAACGACTGTATTATTAGTACTATATGTCTATCTCTATTATAGCAATCTGTTGGTCATCATTGGAATCAAGTGGCAACAAGTTTCCTCCGTCGCAAAAACAATTTTTTTTACTATTCTCGTCGATTTCAACAATTACTTATAAAACTTCTTCTTCTTTCGTCTTCTTCTTCTTCATCATCATCATTGTTCATATACCTCATTTTGCACCACCCTCCACTTTGCTCGGCATTCTATCCATCTGTTACGCTCTCCTCCCTCCTTACTCTCCTTCCCACGTCATTCGCATTTTTATGTCTTTGTAGCTTCTGTTGCCTCTCTCACTAGAGTTGCTCTTGCCACCGCAGCAGCTACTGCTGCTGCTACTATCGTTGTTGTCGGATACTGGAAAGCCGATTATTTGAGTGAGGCTCGGGTGTCAGGCACGGGCTTCCGAGGCACAGTCGTTGTCAGTTCGACATGGAACCAGACGTAGCAATGGGCTACTGAAGACGAAGTGGACCTACCGCCCCGGTATCTTCCCTGCGCAGGACACGTGTATGTGTAATTTATATCTCTGTATTGTTGATGTGTAGATTTACACACTTAGTGTACGTACGCTTTTTTTTTTAAAGACTTTGTTTACGTATTGATAATTCTTTTATTATGGTTCTTACTTTCTGTCTTTTGAAAAATTGTAGCTTTCTTTTTGATTCCCCCGCATAAAAAAAAAAAAAAAACATTGCTTTTCTCTCTTTTAGCAACTTCTTTCTTCGTGGACAGAGTTTTATCAGATCAACAATGGCGATTTTTTTTAATATTCTTCCTTTTTTTTTTTAAATCTTTATTCAATCTGTTTGTCATCTTTCTTTCTTTTATAATTCTACATATTTTGAAATTATTTCTTTTATTTTCTTCAGACTTTTTCTACTTCTTTCTTTCTTACTGTCTTTCCTTATATATATATATATATATATATATATATATATATATATATATATATATATATATATATGTATGTGTGTGTGTGTGAAAAGTGTATATAAATATAAATAAATATATATGTATAATTATTTATATATATATATATGCAGGTACTTATTAGAAAGCCCTCAATATCAGAGATAGAGCTAACATATTTGTTTGGATTGATATTTGGTTGGGTTTCACGCTGTCGTCGTCTGACGATCGCCTGGGTTTTAAAACTTGGGATCGTCAAACTATACATCGCTAAAATATATATATATATATATATATATATATATATATATATATATATATATATATATATTTCTTTTCCTCTTTCTTATTTACTCTTTCACGCTCCCAACTTTTTGTTTCTTCTTTCGGTATTTTTTCTAAGGCGGCAGTCGTTCTCTTATGTTGTAATACATTCATTTTTCTTGTGAATTATGCATTTGGCAACATAGATAAAGGGATTTGGGGGATTGAGATCAGTGGTCGAGGACGAAGATAAAAGCGCTCGCATATTTGGAATAAACTAACATTTAAGCACACATACACAAGCACATGCAGACAAACCCTCAATGAGAATAAGTCAATCAAAAGAATTTAAAAAAATAGGGTCGATGTTTTTGTGTTTTTTTTATAATAACGAAAACAAAGATACAAACACATAATATGTAACGTTAAAATCGACAACTGGTCGAACGGAATACAACTCATACAAAACTTGAGCGACTGTACGGAATTTTTTCGAAAGGTAAAAAATAAGGAAGGAAGGAAGAAAAAAATTAAATAAGAAAGAAAAAAGCCGAAGGAAAACCGAAAATGACTGAAAGAAATAAACAGTCAGACAAAAAACAAACAAACAAACAAAAAAAAAAACAAAAAAACAAAACAAACGAATAACTAAGAAAGGAAGAAAGAAAGATAGACCTGGAGAGTGAAAGAAAGAAAGAAAAAAGAAAGAAAGAATGAACGAAAGAAAGAAAAAGCAGTAATAGTGAAAGAAGATATGGAAAGTGAAAGAAAGAAAGAAAGAAAGAAAGAAAGAAAGAAAAAAGAAAGAATGAAAGAAAGAAAGAAAAAAGAAAGAAAGAAAGAAAGAAAGAAGAAAGAAAGAAATAAAGAAAAAGAAAGAATGAAAGAAAGAATGAACCAAAGAAAGAAAAAGCAGTAATAATGAAAGAAGATATGGAAAGTGAAAGAAGACAAGCAAGCAAGACAGAAAGGAACACGGAACAAAGAAAGAAAGGAAAGAGTTAAAGAAGTAGAAAATGAAAGAAAGAAACAATGAAAAAACAAATCAGAAAGAAAAAAAAACAACTAAGATGAAAGAACTGGAAAAGTAAAAGAAAGCATATTAGACAGAGATATTTCTAATCGATTCAAGAAGTTTTGAACTTGAACAAGATCGAACTCTCAAACTGTGAGTTCTCAGACCAGATGGCTTACCTACGTTTGTTTGCGTCGCAAAACTTTCATTACTGTTCAGTATCACACAACCACACAGAAAATGACATACACACATCAACACGCATGCGCGCCTGTTTAAGCTAGCGCCGTGAAATAAAGAACAACATATACAGATCTTTCTTTACTAAGAAGAGCTTAGCTTTGACACAAGGCCACCAGTAACAGCTACCCATTGAGGATCAAACATATTAATAAGGATTTATTAAACCAGCTTGTGAAATAATATATCACTGTTTGTTGAAATTTCTGTGGAACATAATAAGGAAAAGCGGGTTTGGATAATTTGACACCCATTAGGTAAATTGAAGAGAGGAAAGACAAACGAACGTTAAGTAACCAATCTAATAAGCTTGGATAGATAGATAACAGAACAGGGGTATAGTAAAGGGATGTGAGTATCGCCTTGAGCCACAGAAAGTTGTGAAAAGACATTATCGTCCTCGTTTCGAAAGAATATGATACGTAAAGGTAGAAACTTTTAGTATCAGGGATAAGCTGTGGGGTTGAATTTCACTATTCGGCGAGAATGACCTGCTGGACCACCTTGCGAACTGTTCCAACATGAATGAAAATGGTTAAGAATGGATAAGAAGAAAAAAAAAAAGAAAGGAAATGAGTGAAAAAGACAAATTAGCGAAAAAAGAAAAAAAAAGGGAAAAGAGAAAAGAAAAAAATAAGTCAAAATGCTTTAAAAATACGCTTCGTTACAAAAAAAAAAGAAAAAAAAGAAAAGAGTACTGAACTGTTACGTGATGTCTGTCTTGCTATATGGCAGTGAATGCTGGACAATCTCCTCGAAGATAAAGAAGACACTTGAAGCAACAGAAACAAAGGAAAGAGTACTGAACTGTTACGTGATATCTGTCCTCCTATATGGCAGCGGATGCTGGAAATCTCTTCACCGATGAAGAAGACACTTGAGCCAAAAGAACTGTAGTTCTACAGAAGGATACTAAGGTTAACATGGAGCGAATATGTTAAAAATACAAAGATTTAGTGAAAATGAAGCAGAAACGAAACATACTTAACATCAGGAAGAGACGGTTGAAATTTCTAGGACATATAATGAGGAAAGATGGCTTGGAAAATCTGATACTCAAAGGGCAGATTAAAGACATGGGGGACAGAGGAAAACAACGCGTAACCCACCTAGTGAGCCTGAGTAAATTGATAGAGAGACGGGGCTTAGGAGAGCAAAAAGATAAAATTTCTTAAGAGCCAAGACGGAAAGAATTGTGGAGAGCCAGGATCGGCTACGTTCTGAGGGAACACGGTACATAGAAGAAGAAGAAGAAGAAGAAGAAGAAGAAGAAGGGGGAGGAGGATGAAGGTGGAAGAAGAAGAAGAAGAAGAAGAAGAAGAAGAAGAAGAAGGGGAGGTGGAAGAAGAAGAAGAAGAAGAAGAAGAAGAAGAAGAAGAAGAAGAATGAAATGCAAGGTTTAAAACAACACGAAGCATAGCAAAAGATTCCAGAGAGGAACAAGGATGTGTATTCAATGTGTATTCGATAGAATAGAAAGCTGGGAAACATTGCACTGCATATATATATATATATGCATGTATATTTTTGTGCGCATATATATATCCTTTTGTGTGCATATATATATATATATATATATATATATATATATATATATATATATATATATATATATATATATATATGTGTGTGTGTGTGTGTGTGTATGTATATTCTTTGTGTTCATATATATATTTTTGTGTACATATATATTCTATATATATATATATATATATATATATATTCTTTCTGTGCATATAGATATATATATTATATATATATATATATATATATATTCTTTTCTGTGCATATATATATATACATTCTTTTGTGTGCATATATATATATATATATATATATATATTTTTATGTGCATATATATATATATATTCTCTATATATATATTTATATTC